GGAATCTGATAATTTAAAAGCACATGAATTTTGAATTCTACAGAACATTTTTTTTTATAACATAAATCCATTCTTCAAAAAGATGAGATGATTTATGAATATTTTTCGATGATATTTTACACAGGATTAAAGGGTCATCTGACTTGAGCAAAAATGTGAACAATTTTTGTCTCGGTAATTTGTGTTTGCCGCCATTGGCCAATTCAGTTTTTCGGTCCTAGATTAATTATTGATTGTTCGATTTCTATAAAACAAATGTCATTTTTTTTGTTACTGTTAAATTTTCCTGTCGGCACCAGAAGTGACATAATTTTACCAAAAACTACAATTTTGACAGTTCAGTACCACTTTTTGAAAGCAAATATTATTTTTTTCAAATCTGGTATAACTGAAAGGGTGCGCCCTTTAAGGGTGCACAAAATGTCGGGCTCAGTTTTTTTAATTTCGATTTCGTTTACGAAAAAAGGTGTAAAATTAAGCTATTTACAACCCATCAAGCGCTTTCATATTTTAAAATATTTCTTCGTAACTTTCATAAACTCGTAGCAATAATCTATACGGAGAGAATGTATCACCGAATAGTGATATTAATTTCTTTTTCAAATAATGCATAATTTAATTCTTACTTCTATATTCATCAATATGGCTGACTTTATACTATTCATCGATTTAGATTTTAATATTGTGATTTAAACCCCTTAAAGTGATTGCCCTAGGCAAGAATGGTCTTGACAAAACTATTATAATCTTTGAGGTGCCAATAGGATTATTAGTAGAAAGCTCGAAATAAAGATTTATACATTTAACAATGCAGTCAGATCAGTGATGCAATTGATATTGCTAGATTTGGTTGATTCTGCGTCTATTTGTGCAATGCTTTTATGGAAATATGTTTAATGGTTTCATTGATACCGGAAGTGACATAAGTTCACGGATAACGTGGCAACGGAAGTGACATAAGTTCAAGGGTAACGTGGCACCGGTGAAACCCCTCATGACTGCTTCGCAGTTCTAGTTATTATTATTATAGTAAGGCCTCATTCTCGTGCTACAAATGTCGTCTGCTCTAATTTGCCCTTGCTAACATCTTCGGTCGTTCGAAGGCTATTCAAAACACCACTTCTCTCAGTCTCACTAAAAACATTCCCAGCAACGGAATTACCCCTTGCCTCACAACTTCTCGTCGAAACATCCAGCACTTTCGATATAGACTGCCAATTAGCTTTAATTATCTTTAAAATGTCCTTTCGTGGAATCAATGGAGGAATTACTAATGAAAGTCTTTTTAACACCTCTCTCATATAATCAGAATTCCATTTTTTAGGTATATCGGAATGACTTCGAGTAGAAACACCACTGTTAGTGTTGTGTCTTGTGGTATTAATGCCATTGCTAACATCATTAGAGGACCCACTACACGTGGTTGTTGTACTTCTCCCGTCATTAGCAAGGCCTGTGGAGATATCTCGTCTTTCGCTAGGCCGACTGCTGCTTTTCCTTCTCAGCACCTGAGGCCTGTAAGAAACATGGCTATTCCAACTTCTGCGTCTCTTCATGATGAAAAAGAAGCAGGTGCCTAGTAGAAGACAACAAAATAACGAAGATAAAAGTTTCAAACGCATTAATAATTTGGCTGTATTGCGTGAGCCACCGATCTAACCAGACGAGACTTGTTATGAAGTCTGCATGTACAAATACTCAAACCAATGCGCATGATCCGATTGCTTTAATGTCATAAACTCAATTTAAACCAAGTTACAAATAATAATTAAATGATATATGATATTATACTTGGAATTTGATTTTTCATAAAGCATTTCGTTGTCGCAAATGACAGCATCCTGTATAAATACCGTCTCAAGGTCTGATAATTCACCCTGTAGATAATAATGTGCCAGGAAAATATTTATATTTTATGAGCGATAATAAATTTCTTTTAAACGGTATGTGATAATTTGATTTGTTTATATTGCATTTCGCTGTGACAAGACAGCATCCTATATCAATATGGCTTTGATGTCTGCTACCCCACCCCTCTTATACCTTACAATTCACCCTGTAGATATTATGTGCCAGGAAAGTGATTATACTGTCTGAAAGATAATACATTCCTCTATGAAATGGTATGTGAAGATATACTTGGAATTTGATTTTACATATTGCATTTCGCTGCGACAAGACAGCATCCTCGATGTCTGCTACCCCACCAATCTTATACCTTACAATTCACCCTGTAGATACTAATGTGCCAGGAAAATGTTTATATTTTATGAACGATAATAAATTTCTCTATTAAATGGTATATGATGTTATGCTTGGAATTTTATTTTTCTTATAGCATTTCGTTGCCGCAAATGACGGCATCCTGTATAAATACCGTCTTAGGGTCTGCTACCCCACCACTCTTATACCTTACAATTCACCCTGTAGATATTAATGTGTCAGGAAAATGATTATAATGTCTGAAAGATAATACATTCCTCTATGTTGGCGTATTGAGTTATACCACCGCAAAGTTCCTAGCACCCGGATTCGAGGCGGCGTTCGTGGGTTCAATAAACAAAAGGTAAGCCCAAGCTGCATCAAAAAGTAACCAAACCAGCTTTTTGTTTCACGGAATCAAGAGATGAATAAACTACTAGAATACAAAATTTCAGAAGCTTCCTATGCTGGCTTTTTGAGATATATCACCATAAACATACTAAAACTATGGGGGAATCGGGTTAGGGTAGGCTCACTGCGCACGCAATAACTTCTGAACTAGCTTTGGTGGCTTCAATATCTTTATTTCACCAAATGGACAGGTGCATAAGGCATGCACATGCCAAATTTCATTAACTTTCTATGTTGGCGTATCGAGTCATACCACTGCAAAGTTCCTAGCATCCGGATTCGAGGCGGAGTTTGTGGGTTCAATAAACAACGGGTATGCCCACGCTGCAATTACTAACTGATTTCAATGAAACTTTCAGATTATAATTACATTAATAATATCTCAGAGTAGGCACAAAATTTCGACAAAGTTTCATTGAAATCGGTAGCCGTGCCACATGAAATGTGTTGTAACCTGATATCTCGGAAACCGCTAACCGAAGGTGGTCGAAATTTTGGCTACTCTGAGATATTATTAATGTAATTATAATCTGCAAGTTTCTTTGAAATCTGTTGGTAATTGCGGTCTGTAGCCGTGCCACATGAAATGTGTGGTAACCTGATATCGCGGAAACCGCTAACCGGAAGTGGTCGAAATTTTGGCTACTCTGAGATATTATTGTCATCATATTCTGTAAGTTTCATGGATATCGATTTATAATTGTTGTCTGTAGCCGTGCCACATGAAATGTGTGGTAACCTGATATCTCCGAAACCGCTAACCGTAAGTGGTCGAAATTTTACCTACTCTGAGATATTATTAATGTTATCGTTATCTGTAAGTTTCATTGAAATCGGTTGATAATTGCGGTATGGAGACTTGCCCCAGCTATTTTCCGTCGCTGCTCTTGCTTCGTTTTTTGAGGAGTTACATCTTTTTTTGTCACATTTTCATTCGTGAACTGTTGCCGGCAGACAACTTGTACATTTTGGCCAGATTTTACTGTTACATGTAATTGTTTATTCTGTTGATAAGTTGGTGTCCAAATACTTGTGCACCCTTTTTCAGTGAACTAGTTAGCTGTCCGCCATTACTTAAAACATGCTTACACAAAGAGCATTAACCAATCTTAACTTGCAGTTGGCCCAAGATCAGCTAAAAATAATAATTAAAAAAAAAATCTTTAAAAAATCTACACAGAATTTAAAAGTTTGATAATTACGAACACAATTTTCGAATACACCTTACATGTACTTTACTGTTATTTGTAGTATTTTTAAATTATTATTATTATTAATCTTAGCATACAGGTTAATAATATTATATATCAAAGTAAAAGAATACATACACATTCAATTAAATTATAGATTCTGGCTTATGTGGCAGATATGGCACAATTTAAGGATATGGCTGTTGCGGGCTTCCACACTTTTAAAAATCGAACAGCATTTTTACTTGAATTCTGCTTTGAAAATTTTAATTGCTGTGTATGGCCATTATTAAGATTTTAGAATACTAGTCACCAAATCTCCATCAAAATATTAAAAATCAACGTGTTTTATGAAAACATAGCATAAACAACAACTTAACAACAGGTCATCGTAATCGGGTGCATAAGCTAACTAGCGAGGCTTAAGACGCTATATCTTACAAAGCGTATCTTTCTTACTTCACATATTAAACCATTTTTTAAAAAATATAAATGTATTCATAATATCAATAACTTACCGAATCATTAGTAGATTATGGATAATGTGTTCTTCTTTTATTCAAATTTACCCTCCTCGTAAACTTTTTGGTTTATACCGGATATACATTTCTTACCTCCCTTACACGGTACGGCGGCCCAACACTATCAGCGTCTTAAGCCCCGTTTACACTTGGCCGCGATAATCAAACACCGCACGGCATAAAATAAAAGAAAAAATAACGAACTTTCATGTAAGTACATGTACATGTATATTTTTCTACATTTTTAACATAACATTTAACTGTAGATGTTATTGTAGAACATTTCTGTGCAAACAGAAATTCTCTTGCAATCTTTGTTACTACTACTATCCACATATAATGTCATGTAAATATTTTTTTCTTTCCAAAATGGTTGTGATGTATAATAATTAACTATGAATAAAAACTTCAGAAAAAGATGTACTTCACACAATGCTGTTTTCATTGGCCCGGTCCGTGCAGAACATTTGGACGTTAAACCCCATTTAATTTATTTCACTCACACATACGCTTGTTTTCATTTGTTTGACCCCGTCCTCATTAGCCCAATCGGCGCAAGACAGTATGATGTCAAACCCCATTTCATTTCTAATGTTCGACTCTAGCTTACAGCTGTATGAACACTTTATTTTTAAATTTTGAGGTCTGAATAACTCTATATAATATACAATGCAAGTAATATTCAAATATTGTTGTAGCCTTTAATTGTTTTCATTATACAGTAATTGAAATGATCAATGATGACTTTAGCTGTTTAAATGTTTACAATTTTACAAAGTAAGCAACTTCAATAGAAGTAAACGTAATTAATGGAAATTGTAGAGATAAGCTGACTTGTTCCATAAAACTGAACAATGCATATATATATGAATTTCAACTGGACCGTAATATCATCCAAAGTCTTCCAACATTGAAAACAGAAAATATTTGTCAATTCAAATCCACATTGATTGTGTGATCTTATCCGGAAAAGATGGACTTTTGATATCCAATATTTAAGACAAAATAAATGTCTAATTTTACTACATGTATTGTAACAAGGGACTCTTAGAACGAGGTTAGACATATTCCACAAGTCATTTCAAACGGTGACGCCATATTCTTATCTGACGAGCATGCACAATAAATACTATCAATGTAGACTGGAATAACCAGACGCTAGAGATTGCCTTGTGATTGAGACATCTGGCGTACTTCGTCGAACATAACTGATTAGAAATTACAGTAAAAACAGAAACGATTGAATGTAAATCAGTTTATATACATTCATATTACATTATTATGTGTTGCGACCCACTTGTGTCAATTTCTAGGTCCCAAATATTAGCCATTTAACTCCATTATTGCATTAAGTAAAGATCACAAGGTTATGCAATATGAAAAAGTGCCATAAGTCTAGGAGTAATTAAAGAAAACTGCTGAAATAACACAAGCTTCTGTGCCTCAATAAAATGAACAATGCTTATGATTTTTAACATATTCGATGGTACTAATTAATTTGCCATTAACATTTTTGAAGGTACCGTAATTAATTTTGTCATTCAAATTCGAGCATTCACAAGATTCTACAAAGTAATCAATTGAAGATTTGAAATCACTGGAATTCAATAGTCCACTAGAGAGTTGTTCAATATTATATATATTATATATTTCATGCAGCATTTTCAGCATATAAGACTTTTGCTGGTGGTTCAATCTCCAAATGCTCAAGACCACCAGCCACTGTTTCTGTAGAACATTCTATTTCATCAGAATAACTTTTTGGTAATTTTCTTTTCATGGCATAGGCATCTTCACCATCAGCATAATACTTGGGTTCAATTTCACTTATTTCAAATTTCAGAGTGTTTGTATATAAATGTAATGCCGCTCTGTTACTTTTCCTCACATGAAGTGACACATATTCTGCCTTAAAACATTCCACCATTGCCCTTGATGCCTGGTCCATAAGTTTTTGAGCTAATCCTAATCGCCGATAGCTTCGCTTGACTGCTAATGAAGTAATGTGTCCATGGGGTATTGCATCCTCTGGATCCTCTTCCATCTTAGCCAATACATAGCCAACAATTTTACCATTGGATGCCTCTCCAACATAAGATAATTGAGGCCAGGATAGTCCATGGTAAAAATAATATTTCATTTGATAATTTTCTGGTAGGCAAAGTAAATTACAATGCTGCATATTCATTAAATCTTCAGGTCTTGCACATCTGATATTCATTGTGATTTATTTCGGGTTGAGAGTGATTGTAAAAGCAATCCGCTATTGATTAGGAACAAGTCACAAAAATGTGTTGCCGTAAACCAAACTTGCGGTCGGAAGTAATATATTTTACGACTTTGAAAGTAGTTTACAAATATACCACTGGATCTATAATCTCTACAAAAATACTTCTTAATGCTTAGTTATAACATTCTTAATATAATCGCTTGATAATGAATAGAGACCGAGCGGAATCTGTCACTCGTATTCCAGCACCCGGTGTGATAGTTTGAGTTGATTACATGTCATTTCGGTCCCGCGTCATTTCGGACTTACGTCATTTCGGACTCCAAAAATATGTCCTCGACATTTCGGACTCGGGTAGGTGACGTTTCGGACTCGGTCAGGCGACTTTTCGGACTCGGACTGGCGACATTTCCGACTCAATAAAATCTGAAAAAATCTATGTATATATTTGTAATAACTGTTTTTTCTTTCGTTTTAGGTGAGGCTGAAAACAGACCATTCACAATAATAAAGAAATTAAACATTGTTAGTTGTGTTTTATTTATCCCATACAGAATTTAAGCCCGTCGTACATTTGCCACATTTTCATTTGCCATATGAGATTTGACAAAAGCTGGCATGCATAGCTTTTCGTCAAATAAATGTGTCAAATAATTGGAACTTATGCTCGTGTACGATAGGCCGACAAATAAATTTGCCACAAATCTGCGCACGCATCTAAATCTATTGATTTCACTTTCATTTTTCGACGCACGGGCAAATTTATTTTCTGGCTTCGTACACGGTCAAAGATAATTTGAAGAGACCGTCATAGAAGTTTGTTCAATTTTCTTTGATCGTGTACGACCAGCTTTACGCACGTTATTTATCCCCTTCAGACCATACATCAATAACAACGGGATATTTATTTGATGAAATAATAGCTTCAGTCGGGTATTCATTTATCTTATAAAATATACTTTTTTTTGTTACACATTCCATTCGAAGTCACCTATTACGGTTTAAACTCCGATACTTATCTCGAGTGTTGCGTATTAATAATAACAATAAAAGAAAAATTCATTACGTACCGGAATCACAGGTACGATGTTGCCATAAATCACAAGCATCACACCGGAGGCCTTCTTGTCGTGGGCTTGGGCTATCAATAATTTCAGTTTGGTTTCAATAATCAACACCTAGGCGGGCCAAACTAACATTTGACGTAGAACAAATTGCAACAAAAGGTTTTTTGATTTCTATTGACTCATTATGATGTCCTAAGTAAGGAAAATAAAGTTTACCAAAATCGGAGTCCAAATAAGGCCAGGGGGCGTGGCCAAATCTAAGATGGCGGTTGTCCATCAAAAATTCCAAATATCTCTAAAGCTATTGGATTTAGACACCATAAATGTATTGCGGACAGATAGGAAGTCGGTATCAGCGAGTCCAAAAATTGCGACCTTATGTCTCTATGACGTCATGACGTTGCTGTGACGTCACAACGGCATACCAGACGTCACATTTCTTCCAAATTTAGTTCATTTATGCATCTTAACAGCAGAAACGAATGCTGATGCAGAGAAGAGTGTGTCCCCATTATGTTGGGTTGATAAAGAAGAACAATATGTTACAATATGGAATATTTTAGAGTGAATTTCAAATGCCGTATCATTTCGTAGATCCATTTGTTGTTAGTTGTATTTTACGTCCGCTTCCACCGAGGTGATATCGCAGACAACGTAGAACCATTTGATGATGAATTAGTTGTATTTTACGTCCGCTTCCACCGAGGTGATATCGCAGACAATGACGTGTTATGTGTACAAGGTGCATTAATTTACAATGTGATTAGTGAGAAATAATAGGATAATTAGGTTTTCATATATATGTACATAGGACAATAAACAACAGTAGGATAACATGTGCAAAGGACGAAACAGGTGCCAGTAGACATTTCACAAGCATGCGATTTGACGGAACAGACATGGACAAAGACGGACATTTTCACAGACATAGACATATTATATACATATATATATAGTTTGGGTTGGTCTGGTCGTTCTGTCCGGTAGAATGGCAGGGCGGTGCAACTCTACCTTGGGGCTTTGTTGGTGAGTATGAGTCCTGGTCCATTCTTCCTTCCATTTGGGTATGTTGTCCGGTATGGTGGCGTTGCACATCTTTATTTATGTTATTCATTCCTTTTATTGTTGGTTCTCTGAAGGAAGAATCCAGCACCTGAAAAAGAAAGCTAGAGAAAAGAGAGTATCTGATCTTACTGTGGTTTTATGGTTATTTTGTCTAGTAAGGCTTCGTGGGGGGGGGGGGGAATCATTATAAACTAATAATAAAAATAATAAGTGAGAGTAAAAGAAAATAGAGTGTTAACTGAATTGCAGATAAATAATAAGAATAATAAATTACTCATGAATTATATTAATGGTAATAATGAGAATAATAAATTACTCATGAATTATATTAATGGTAGATTAGTGGTTTTATTATAAATGTAGCGAGGTTTACGCTTCCTTCTAGAGGACATTTTTGCGCTCCACCCTACTGTTAATTAATTGGTTTTATTAGTTGGTAGATTAGTGGTTTTTATTATAAATGTAGGGAGGTTTACGCTTCCTTCTAGAGGACATTTTTGCGCTCCACCCTACTGTTAATTAATTGGGTTTAGTTGATTTATTAATTTTATCGGAGTTATATTAGTTGTGTAAGGCGGTTTACGCTTCCTTCTAGAGGACATTTTTGCGCTCCATCCTACTGTTAGTTGGTTGGTTTTATTAGTTGATTTATTAATTATATCGGAGTTATATTAGTTGTGTAGGGCGGTTTACGCTTCCTTCTAGAGGACATTTTTGCGCTCCACCCTACTGTTAATTGATTAAATTCATTATTTTATATATTTGGTCATCCCTATGTTCTCAATAAAATCCCAGACAAGTTGTGATGTCCAGTGTCTATCGTCGGCTTGTGGAGAAAGGAGTGATTTGAGACAGAGGGTGTTTCCCCTCTCTGCTAGATTCTTAATTACAGATTGACGTTCTTTGTTCAATTGATTGCAGTCAATTAGCAGGTGAGACGTGGTCGCGATTTGTCCACATGGGCATTTAATTGGATTGAAGATGAAGTCTTTTATTACGTTTATCGTTTTAAGCCTCGTGATGAGTTTGCATATTTTGATTGATGGATGATTGGTGTAAACCTTGTCTACAAGATTGCTATCAATTTGATAGCGATGAGTATTCTCTTGTTTTAGACGGGTTTTCCATGCATTTTTAATTTTATCTTTGGCTATGCTTGTGAATTCTTGACTGCTGTGTTCTAAATTTTCTATATCAGTTAATGCCAACCCTTCCTTGGCTAGCTTGTCAGCCTTTTCATTGCCGAAGATATTGATGTGGGAGGGGATCCATGCAAGGACTACCTCTCTTCCGTTATTCTTGATTGTTTGAATAATATACCTAATTTGGTGGATTATGTCCTGTCTGCTTTTGGAATAGTCTGATTCGATGGATTTAATGCTACTTAGTGAGTCTGATAGGATAACGGCTTTTTGGTGTTTTTGGGTGGCAAGCCATTCTATTGCAGTTTTAATGGCCATCAATTCTGCGGTGTACACAGAGCAATGTTCTGGTATCCTTTTCTTGATGTTTAGCTTTGCTTTGGGGATGAAAATGCCGTACCCTGTTAGTCCCTGTGTATTATTTTTCGACCCATCTGTATAGATTTTAATATAGTCTGCCCATTTTGTGTCTATCAGCTCTAGTGTTAGTGCTCTAGCCTCTATGGGATTATCGTGTTTGTTTGTAACGTTGATTAGGTGCGTATTGATGATTGGATTAATTAATTGCCAGGGTGGGGTGACGGGATAAGTTTTTGTTTCTATTATTGTCCCTTTTAAACCGTGTTTATTTAAGACATCGTTTGACATTTGCCCGAATGTCATAGGACGCGTATTTTTCCTATAGCCTATTCGTTTGAATTTAAGCTGCCTTTGTTTAAATAGGCCACGTGTCAAATGAAGACGACTCAAGAAATTAGCGCATTTACCGGTAATTTGGATAATCCCGTAATACTTGATATCCCAAACTTAAGTACAGAAAGAAATACAAATGGTGCCAGTCATTTGTCGATATATTCATTATTACTATTAGCTATATATAATAATAATAACCATTTCTATACATAAAGAACAACTTTAATCGTAACTCCATTTGAAATTTACAGTGAATATGGAATTTTCCGATGACTATGCATAACACGTAGAATAGTCTATAGATCGCCCTCATTTCTCAGCCAATCAACGCTGGGAATCTTATTACCATTTACGGTTCCATGTACTACGGGTGTAGTAAATGAGGTTAAACTTCGGCGCGAAAATTGCACGGGATCATACGTGGAGTTCCTGGTGCCGTTTGGTGAGTGATTAAACTGTCAATGCAATTGTAAAATACTTTTATTAAAAAGAAAATAAACGATTGTTGTTTAAACGCCAATCAACAAATAATACGAGGCTACTTGATTACAAAAACACCGGTGAGCAATAAATATTGGTTAAATAGGAATTATAAACAACTGATGAGTAAAACTTAATTATTTTATACAATTAATGTGTGGGTGTACGATTCTACCATTAGTTCGTTCATGAGGTATTATGCACACGTTCCACATAGAGTGATGTCTTTGATCTGGCCGGCGTAAAGAAAAGATAATTACCTAATCAACATTCTTAATCCCACTAACACTCACTGCTAACACCGACGTGTAAATTAATTTATGATCCATGCTTGTATAACTTTTATAGTCGGATTGATTAATTAATGACAAATATTAACGACACTACACTTTATGTGGAAATGCGAAGTGCTCGCAGTAAAAAACACATAGCTGGACCCGTATATTATTTACATATTAAAAGTGTTTGTCCAACAAGCTCCATATTGTAAAATATTAATTAAGAGTTCAAGACTTCAAAGTTTAAAAGTTGTAGGCAATCTAAATTGGATCTTAAATTAACATGAATTACAAAACGAATTATTCCGTAGTCAATTGTTTTATTTAATTAGGGGGATTAAGGAATCCTTCAGGCGTTAAAGAATACACACGCCGGCTGTATATAGGTAATTAAGGAATAAACATTCCGAATATGCATTCGGCCACTGTGACGTCACTGGCGTCTGAGGGGATTAAGAGTGTTTTCGATAATTGGCAAAGTCGTTTTTACGGGAGGTCTATTTTTACGACCTTGAGTGAAGATAGCTGAATTAATTTCAACCAGATTGGCGTG